CGGGCTCTGCTCACCACAACAGACACACATGCCTGTAGTGGCTGGGAAGTAGTTTTGAGGGATAACTCTGATCAACTGATTCACTTGCAGATGGTTACTCTAGATGAAACCTCCATCTGAATTCTAATCTCTGTGCCTAGTTACCAGTTGAGCTATTTTACATCAAGATTTGGTAATTGTAGAAGACCCTGTTGGCGGTGCAGGTGTGCTGTAGAGCCGTGCTCTCCCAGGGGATGCTGCAGACCACGTTCACCCCTTCACTGACATTGCAGCAGCCTAATTCTACGAGTTTTGTGAGAGAGAGAGGAAACTGCTGGACACAGGAATCGTTCTTCTTCCATTTGGTTTGAGGATCTACTGAAAGTTTTACCTGAAGAGACATATCCAAAGGAAACTGTTTTTTCACTTTGGTAGTTATATAGTTAATCCAGCTAGCAGAAGTGGGAGTTGATTAGCTTGCCTCATTGATTTCTAACCTGCCTCTCATTATACTCTCTGAGAAAGATGAATTAAATCCATTGTACATTACTTAAAGGGCTGAAGACTAAGACAAAAAAAGAATCATACAGTGCCTAGCTGTAGAAAAAATATCTTTGGGAACATGTGTCTTGCCTCTGATATGTACAAAAGAGTAATTCCCATGAGGAATATCAGAAAGTTGAAATAATACAAAACCATTTTAAATTGCACATAAGAGTCCCTGAAAATGACAAGTTGACAACTTGAAACAATTTCGAGATCCTTTCTGCCAACTCTCATTTCTCTCCTGCTTCTTCATTTGAAGACAACTTCTCGCCCACAGATGTCTTCAAAAGGTTCTTGGCAGATTGAGCATCCCAGAGCACAGAAGTTTAGCCTTTATCTTCACTTTGAGCACAAAATAGCTGCCTTTCACCTCTGGAGTAAAAAGGTTTAAAGTCAGGCTTAGTATTCTTTGCACATGCAAATCTGCGTCTGAAACACAAGGAGAAATACGAAATACTGGTTTAGTGCTCATCTTGGAAGTGTGACAAAGAGCAGGAGGATATAAGGGCTTGAAATTACCATCCCCAGACTAAGCTGTTGGGTGTTCCTTATCATGAGGTTGCCTGCAGAAGTAACTGATATGTATGTTCATATCCATGTATATGAGAGACTAAGCAATCCCTGTGTGCTTCTGGCAAAATGCTACTAGACAGATGAATAGATTTTGACAGGTCAGGTGTCAAAACATATGACATGGAGGCCATACATACTTATGGACAAAAATCCAAAGGTCTTTCTACTTTGATGTTATGCTAAACTATAACTCTAGTTTGAGCTATGCTAAAAGTTGTATTCACAGTCAGTGAGAACACAGGCATTACCAGATAGGCTGATTTTTTTGTGGGCCTTTCCAAACAAATACTCTGCTTCTCTCTTAGTGAGGTGATTTATCTGCACATTAACTTGATTCCACTTACTTACCCCAAAGATGTGCATAGGATCTTCACATCAGTTTTAACATCACTAATAAATTCTCGTCCTTAGGTACTTGGGAGCAACCACTGGTTACATTCAAGACTCACCACAGAGAGAGAGAAATGAATGGTTCTTACACATTTTTTTGCAATTTACGAAATATAAAGTAGTTCACAGAATTAGCATGCTTGCTACAATTTCAGTGAAAGGATTTGGGTTTCTGATGACTTAACTTTTCAGAGCATGATTTAGCTGTTCGAGTCACTTTATGGCACGCGTAAATGCTGTTCGTACTAACTCTAGTCAGTGATCATCTTATAGATCATCTTTGTGATTTCAGATGTGGTGGTACAGTGGTGTACACAAGGAGACCTACTTGCAGTAGCAGGCATGGATAAGCAAAGCCAGCTGGTTGACCTCAGCAACGGGTCCCTGTTGAAAAGCGCCCTTGTCAAGTTCTACAATGTGCGTGGGGAACATATCTACACTCTGGAGACGCCGGTGCAGGTAGGAGCTAGTTTTGGAGTCAGTTCACAACGCTTTGCTGACATGGTTTTTTCCTACATTAGCTCATTGGTATAGACCTCCAACGTGAAAATAGTTGCAAAACATGCTGAACACATTCTGAAATATGATACAGATAAAAATGCACTATCAATAATTACTATTTGTATTAATGTAGATATCCAAGAGTGCATCTGATTCTAAGGCCCTCTGCACTAGGTATTGTGCTAATAGATAATGAGAAATGGTCTGTTTTCCAAAATCATTGGATCATGAGTGGACAAGATAGATGAAGAAGGTTCTTTTGTTTTATGGATAAGTGACTGAGGAGAAAAAAAATAGGCAACTTGCTTGATGTTGTAGCACAGCCAAGAGGTGGACAGAAATGTTCCAAGTCTAGTAGGATAACTACAGGATTATTCTCTCTTCGTTATTGTTGTAATTTTCTAATGTACAATTAGTTGATCTGATGCAATATTTTATTTTTTATGGCCTAAAATGGAGATGGATGAGTGAGAAAGTGTTGTTTCTGTTCTCACTTTCTGTACAGATTTTCACTGTAACCTTGGTTGTGTTACTTGATGAGTAAATGGCAGCACGTGGCCTGTGTGCTGCTCAGGGGCACAACATGCTTCACAGTCTTCGCTGATGTGTCAGAACCCAGACAAATGTCTCTCTACAGTTTATTTTATTTTCAGCAGAATAGGAGTGACTCCATTCTGCTTTCTGACTGTTCCTAGTGAAAATTAATTTATAATACCTTTCAAATCTAAAAGTGAAGGAAACTACAGATATATTTACTTAATTATGTTTAATGATGATACAATTTATTATCATTTTTTCTTTCAGTACCCTGACCTGGGATGGATACAAAAGGATAATGTAGTAAACCAGCTGCTAAGCTTTTGTGTCTGCTTATATTTAGCATTAACCTCTGCTTATTAATGTTAGCACTCTAATTTAGGTAGAATTCTTTAGTTTTGTAACATATAAAATAATGGTCTCTAAAGCCAACCTAAGTACGTATAGTGACATCTAATGCTGATTTAGGTACCTAAAGGACTTATTCATACACACAGCTTTATTGTCTTAAACGTAGCCCTTTCAGCAAAGTAGCACAGCCCTTTCCTCTCTTGATGGATTCTGGAGAAAACGTATTTATATCAGTGTTGCTTATTCCCAAACCAAATGAAAAGCAAACCTTGTTCTGTTACCTTAGTACCTGAGTACAGGATGTCATGTTAACTGTTGAACCAGTGTAACACTTGGTGTCAAGCTGTGAAATTGTGGTTTGAACATCAGAACTGGTGGGGTCAGGTTGCCTTAAGGTGTGCATGTGTGCAGGCTCTTCTCTTACTGGTTTGTTTCCAGTAAGCTCAAATTCTCCGTTTTTAAAATTCCTTCACCTTGTCTAGTTCTCCCTGTGTCACATAAATTTCTTTTTATATTTTCAGCTCTTCTCCTTTCTCTTCCACTAAATCAGCTGGGAGAAAGTGCATATTGTGGCTGACATGAGGGCTAATTATTTTGCCATTAGATGAGTACTTATAGGACAACTGATAGGTCATACAGAATAGGTAACTGCCAAGAAACTGAAGTATTTCTCATAGTGAATATACTAACATGAGCCTCTCTGCCCTTTCCAGCTGCTAATTTTCACTGAAATTGCAGCATTTCAATGTAATGGAAATTCCTTACCCCATTGTCAGCTTCAGATGAAAAGCCAGCAGTTTCAAAAGTTGTAATTCAGGTTGGAAGTGAAGGGTTGAGGGCTGGCAACCACCACTTGAAAGCATAATCATGGAGTCTCATTTCCTTGAAAAAACAGGATAAAAAATAACATTCAAACTAATATATTTATGTTTATTAAAAACCTATGCACATAAACCTGCCTAAAATTAGAGCCACTGCTCTTCTCTTGTAGTCAGTATTTACTCTCTTTACTTAGTGCATTTAAATTCATATTTACTCAGCTGCAGGAAGAAGTGGGGAGTCTTTCAGAAGGACACCTATACCTGCTCATGTGGACTTATATGCCTCTCTGTATTTGGGTGCTGGTCTAGTGTTATTACCAGCGCAGTGACAGGTATGCTAGAACATTGCTAAGTATTTGGCTTACTAACAAAACCAGATAAAAAAACATAATTGCAACAGAAAATGCCACTAACTTTTGTTATTCTGTGCCTCTACTCTGAAGATGTATGTGCAAAGGTGACAGAGTGAGTCAATGGTCCCAGTGATTTGTCTGATGACAAGTTCATCAGAGTAAATTAATTAGTTTTTTGTACTATGACAGCCTTGTAACGGAATTTTATAAAATTTGTCACTGGTTATTGGAGAAAAGAAAATAATTTCCTCATCTTTAACTCTTCTGCTAAAACTGTTTCTTCTAAAGCAAACAAACGTGACTGGAAAAGCGCATTTAATCTAAATGAGCATTGTTCTGAATATAAAGGTCAAAAAAAGTAAAGCAGCATTGGACATAGAAAATAGTGGATTACAGGTGCAAAACTGGTTTTCCGTGTGGTCCTCTATCCCAAATATTTCATAAAGCTGACATCTGAAAATGTTGTCAGTAAAATACACTGCTTTTCTTTCTGCTGTTTCTATGTCCTGTCTTTGGTAGGATATACAGGAAATGAGATTTTATCCTTTATAACAAAACTCAGTCTAAAACTGATGTAGGATTTGTACACAACTTGATTGGAATGTTAGCTAACATAAAGTCAGTGCAAACCCCAAGGTAGAACAGATTTGGGTAGTTCAAGTTACTCGGCTTGTTGATGACTGTCGTCATGGATCTCTTCAAGGTGTTTTATATGCCACCTTCTCTGGTTTTGGTATCCTCCATCTCGTTTGATTGAGTTTCTTAAGCTCTTGCCTTCAAGTGTAGGATTTTTTAGTTCATAAATCTATTTTGCTGACTATAAAGCTAAAAATATAAAACCCACATAAGGACATCATACTTGTTTAGAAGTATGCAAATGAATGCAGTAGTTTTGCATGAAAAATAATGTTCATGAACAGAGTGTAGAGTTAGCATAGTGTAACAGTCTCTCTTACTCCCTGCTCTGCAGCTTCAATTTGCCCATCCTGGCATGCTGCAAGAATATATTTGCAGAATATAGTGCAAAGAGCTGAAAAAGCATCAGGAAGAGTTGGACAAGTATTGAGCTTCTGCTACACAGAATCAAACTGGTTTGAACCTTGAAAGAATGATGAAAAAATTTCAGAAGGGGCTTTGGAAAGTAAAACTAGGCTTTTATCTTATTGGAAGCAGTTCTATGAAAACTGGGTTCATACTGTGACTCCAGAGAGTTGGTACTGGTTATTTTATACAAAGACCATATCATAAAGGCTGTTTATCAGCTTATAACTATTCAAAAATACACTGTTAATTTCTGTAAAATTTAGCTTCTCACCTTGGTGTACATGAATACCAACTTGATGTACCAAAAATATGTCCTGTTCTTATTAGCTGGCAGTTTTTTCATGGTCCTACTTTTTTAACATTTAAAAATGTGGTTACAGCAGCAGGCTGCCCTCGTGGTCATAATATTTTTATTGGAAGAATATTAATTTCTTATGTTATTTGTTAAATCCTCACAACCTTTTCCTGTCATCCAGCAGGGGTAAGACTAATCAACTCATTCACGACTGTTTTACAGTCTTGCTAAAATTGCTTACCGAAAATGCTGCAACCCAGTTCTGTCAACTTCAGAATTTCTTGTCTGATATACAGATGGGTCTTAATTATGTCAACTAACTATACCTGCTGTCACATCTGAGTGGATACAGCTGCTTCATATCTTCCCATTTGAACTTTAACCAGAGAAATCCCCTATAGGTTCAATTCAAAATTACCTAGCTACCTACTTTCACAAACATCATTTTTTTTGCCCAGTGGCTCAAAGGTGTGGCTTATATTTTGGTTCCTTTTTTGCTTTTTATTATTTTCTTCTTTATATGTCCCAGATTGGACCACCGGAACAAGAACATGGATTTAGAAACCTTAATGCTGATCTCATCTATACACCTATAATTCTACAGTACATTTACATGAGCTTTTGATTTTTTACTACTGTGTAGCTGGTGTAATAACAGATTAAACCCCAAGTGCAATGAAGAAGAAGGATAAGAGTGAACTGAACCCCACAGGTCCCAGAATCATTTGTATAGGCAACAAGATCAGATGCAGAAAAGCTGGAATCACTGAAAAAAAATCAATTTTTATCAGTGTAATATTTTTAATCCCTAACTCAAAGTGGTGTACCAAAGTCTAAATTACAGGAGAGGTTTCCAGGAGTCTTTGCAAAAAATACCCGCTTGCTCTAAACCTGCTGCTGTCAGCAGCATTCTTCACAGCATTTCATGAGCTGGTTCTCTTCTGGAAATGTCCTGGCATCTGCATGAATAGATTTAAGATGATGTGATCCTGCAGAAACTTGGTAGATGTGTAAAAAGCTCTTTTACTAAGGCTTGAGAAGGAGGGTGCAATTTTACATTGAATTCAGATCAAAGGGCTTTGAGAGAAGAGGCTGCCTTTTATGTTACCCTGCTGAGCTGACCTTGCTTACTTTGTCTTCATTTATTTCACATACAGTGTTCAGGTTTGTTGCTTCTGAATTAATGTTGCCTTTCATTTACATCACCTGAAATTAATCCTGTTTAGTTGTTATTCGATGACAACAAACTTCAAGAAGAGTTTGTTTTCTTACAGAAAGATAAATGAACAATAGTTTAGGACTAGCTGGGGAAACATCCTTTAGGGTATCAATAAGAACCTTGATATTTTCCAGAAAGAATCATAGAATCAATGATCTTAAAGGTCTCTTTCAACCAAAACAAGTACAAATGTTAACCCAAATACTGAGCCCTAGGGAACACCACTTGTGACTGGCTGCCAACTGGTTTTAACTCCATTCACTGCAGTTGTTTGTGCCCAGCCATCCAGTCAGTTTTTCATCCACTGAAGTGTACACCCATCCAAGCCACGCCCATCCAGTTTCTCCAGCAAACAGTGTCGAACGTTTTACAGAAGTCTAGGTAGACAACATCCACATCCTTTCCTTCATCTATTAAGCGGGGCCATATAGGCCATAAGATCATCTCTGCTGCAGGAATGGATTGTGATCAGGACTAGAAAATGGAGATGCTTGCCTAAGCAAAGATTATTGCATTGAAGTCTTAGAAATAAATCACTCTAGAAACAGAGAGGATATAAGAAACACCTGCAAATCAAATAAGAGTTTGCTACATGAAAAAGCACGTAAGGCCACAGCAGGGTGATTTCTGACCACATCATAGTCTTTATTGCTTTCATCGCCATGAATTCTTATTAGTTAGTATTGTTCCCACTGTAAATATGGGGAAGAGAACAATGAAGAAGTTGCGTTACTTTCCAGGAGCCATCTATGAATGCTGTGGCAGTACTGGGATGTGCCTGTACAATTCACAAGAGCTGCATGAGCACTGCAGTCATTGCACCTTCCAGCTTTTCTCTGAGAAAAGCAGAGGGGAAAATGTGAGTCTTCACATCATCAGTCTAAAGTGAGAGCCAGCAGGCAACGCACGTCAGAGTTTTACTTACATGTACCATTCACTTGATGATGTTTTGCAGTTGGGTTCTTTCTCCTGAGAAAAATCCTGCTTGTTGCTGGGCTTTCTGCACTGGAATACCATTTTTATTTCATTACCAGTGGGACTCCCAGTGCCAGCAGACAAGGGATTAGTACAAGGAGCAGGCAGGCCACATGGCTCAGGGTTTCTGAGCTCAAGGCAGGCAGCAAGAATCAGCTTGAACAGTGCTTTCATTAACTGAACTGCACACAAGTGATGAAAGGTATATAAATTATGTTCTCTCCTGTAAGAGAGACAGATGAGTGACTTGTAAGATGGAATGTCCATTCCTGCATGCTTTTCTAAGGGGAGTCGACATCCCAGCTGGGGGTACAGATTTCAGTAGATGTAGTTGATGTTCAAGCCCATTCTGAAAGAATGGCAAAAGACCTCCTTGTTTGCCACTTTTTGAGATGTATTTTCAGTCAATATTTCTTGTGATAAAACATCTCATTTCTTTTTCCTTTAGTCCATTATTTCTAATACATAATTGTCATAGAGCTAAATCATATCTTTGTGTTGAAGTTCAAGGCTTTCACCAGATTTTTTTTTTCTCTACAAGTTTGTATCTAAACCCTGGAATTCATTCAGATATTTACAGTTTGTGCTGAGATTTTTCAAGACCTGATGGGATTTTTATATGCCGGTTAGCAACTATCATTAGGCATTATATTTGTTGCTGCATTTCCTTGTTCCTAGCAGAAAAAAAACCAACTGTGTAAACATGGAAAATAAAATTCTCCTGTGCTAGAATCTGCTTGTTTGTTTTCTAAAAGTTGCGATAGGGGTATCAACAGCTTTTTTTCCTTCCTTTTATAGTTAAAATAATGCAAATAAGTAAATGCTTTATGAGGAGCAGTACTTTTGCATTGAACATGGGAGTTCAATTGTTTTTTCTCAGCAGAGTTTGGAAAGAAAGCTGTGGCCAGCTCATAACTGACTTGCTGCAGTAATTGATTCATATCCCTTAGAGTGGGAAGCATAGTCATTAAAAAACATTATTGGAGCAGTATATTTAAAGGTCAAGTCAGATCTGACATTTAGGTGATCTTTCATTTCTCCCAGCCTGTAATGACAGGCTAATTTTCCCTGAACCTCATCTTAAATCTTAGGCCTTTGCTGTAAATGAAATGTTGCTGGGTATTAGGCTTGAGGAGTACCGGGGGACTGACCATTCCATAGGAAAGGAAGGCACCATGTGTCTGTCTGGTGAATCAGTAAGCAAAGACAAACCAATATGAAAAAAGTGCTTTCTGATGAGGTTGAAAATACAAAAGTAAGAAGTGTGAGGTGTGTGTTGAGTCTACATGTCCAAGTATAGGAGTAGAAATATCATGTTCGACCAATGGTACAACACGTGTGGGTATTGTGTGTGCGTGTATTTAAACATGCACCCACTTACATATTGTTTGCATAAACAGAATATGAGGGAACAATAGAATCAGACATTCAGAAGTTTAGAAGATGGCTGAACTGTGGTTGTCTGTTGGGCAACTGTGATGACATAATGCAGTGAGGCAATCTGCTGTTCCCCTGCTCCGCAGTGCTGTGTTGCCAGAGGTCCCAGGCAGCACTTAATGAAAAACCTGTTCCTTGGGAATATGTTTAAGGTTGCAAAGGTTCTTGCACTGGTTCTATATGCATGTCTGCTGAAATAACCTGAGGAGTGAAGTGGTTTCATTCAGCTCTATTTGGATGAACAAAGGCCTGTCTGGCTGTGATAGACTGGGTTATGATAGCTGGGATATTAGACTTCTCTCTGGCATTAAACTCCGTCTGATAAATAAACACTTCTATGCTAAGTCATATACTTGTTTGTTCCTTCACCGTATTTATAGGTAAGCTTTAGTTGATACAAGGGGAACAGAAGGATGTAGTTTGGATCCTACAGTAATGCTCAGTTCTGCCCATACTGGGTTTCAGCCCTTGGGGAAATCAGGGTCACTTCTACTGGTGCCTTTCTGAGGTTGCCATATAATACATGTGGCAGGTACCTACCTAACTTGTGTCAGTGCCTTTTCAATCGTGTTTATTTTGCAAGCAGCTTGAACTGTCTCATTACTTCCAGAGAGTATGATGGCTGAGCCACACTCTCAAATCATGAAAATACCAAACAGTAAGGGGTACTTTCTGAGATCTCTCATCAAATTTAAGGCTCTGTCCCACAGACTGTGGTTATGACAAGCCATGTAATAATTATTGATGGTACACAAAGGATTTCTCCATTCTTTTGAAGTTCCTCACAACAAAATGCCTTTAGCAATTACTGTGAAAATCACAAGGTTCACATGTGGCTGCTTTCTATTTGCATATCAGTCAGCCTGAAGGTTTGTGCCTCTGTGGAAGCGTGTGTGTGTGTGTGTCATGTTGCCTAGATGAAATGAAAATGAAGCCTCTTCATTCCTCCCACTTTAAAACCAATATTTTCCTTGAAATATAAATTTAGGATAAGATGACGTAGCAGGGAAGATCTTCTCTCTGAAAAAGTTGTTTCATCCAACCCTTGATCATGATGATAGACGTTGATACAGTGCTGTGCAGCTGCATTTTGCTTCATATCATTCACATAAAACCATCTTGTCCCAGTTTCTCACCTTTAAGCATCTTGAATTTGTAACTGAAGGGAAACCATTTTTCTTCAGACTAGATTAGTAGCTTCTGGGCTGATCTAACCCAACTGTCTGGGTACTGTATTCCTAGAGAGGAGTGGATAAAAGTTACTACGGATGGTCTTTTGACCCTGTGTTCTGTATAGTAATTCTTGTTTGGTGCATTTTGTGAAAAGCAAAGATGTTCCAATAGACACCCTGACCTTTCCTTAAATATAGTTCATAATTTAGCTGAAAAAAACATTTTTTCTTAAACTTTGGAGTGCCATGGACTGTCGAAAGAAAGGAGCCCTTCACAAAAAGGAGTAAACTTTTTGTGATTCACTGAATAGAGCCTGCCACATAGAATTTTTCACAGAGTGAGACTTTCTTCTTTACTGTGTGTTATTTATTTGTATGGAGATAGTGGCTATGCGATTGAAATTCCATACAGTATGGAATCTGAAAATACAAAGGCTTTGTAACACAAAGCCAAGAGATGACAGATGGATGAGCTAACGCTCATGAAATGCAAAAGTAATAGTGATAGGGCTATAAGATGTCACAGCACACTGGTGCTTTACACAAAGAATCTGGGATATAGGAAAAGTTTAGAGAGCTCCTTGCAAGCACAACTCAGTATTCTTACATGAACTCTTAATATTTATGCAGCGGGGAACAATGTCCAAAGCAGCATTTGAGTTTGTTGTTATTCTGCTCCATGTTCTGCCACTTAGTACCAGTCACCCCTGACTCTTTCTGGTTTTGCTGTCATGAACTGAGACATTTCTGAATGTAGACAAGCAGAAGACAAAAGGCCATTCTTTGTTTTGTTCCCAGTGCACTTTCACAGTTCCCTTCCTCTGGGAATAGTTCAAAAGAGACACTGCAGCAGAAGACTCGGTGCAAGACCAGAAAGCCAGCTGGGTTTTGTTCAGTAGTTTGCTAAGTGTCTCTGTGCATATAATTTAACTTTTTAGTTGTAAAACATGAACTGTTACCAGTGGATGAGGATTAATTAGATGACTGAAAAAGTCATCTGGTTACAGTATCAAAATACCCTCCTTTTGAACGCTGTGTGACTTATCCTATCTAGGTAATTCACTTGATAGACAATTCCTTGCGTGAAGAGCTTCAAGCCTTTTGAGTAAAAAGGACTGTATAAACATCTACTGCTGTTACTGATAATTTCAGATGTTCACATTCTTCTCTTTGTGGGCAATACCATGCACTTCTAAGTTTCTGGAAGACTTAGGGGAATATGATTGCTGTTGAATTCATGCGATCACTTGCTGTGCCACTATCCTGGGGAGAAGTCCAGGCTTTTTTTTAAAGTTGTGCCCTTTTCCTCCCCGTGCAGCGTCCCATCATCTCCATCTGTTGGGGTCACAGGGACTCGCGCCTGCTGATGGCCTCTGGACCTGCTCTGTACGTTGTCAGGGTGGAGCACAGGGTGTCCAGCCTGCAGCTGCTGTGCCAGCAGACCATCGCCAGCTGCCTGCGGGACGACAAGGACATCAGCAAGCTGACCCTGCCCCCTCGGCTCTGCTCGTACCTCACCACTGCCTTTATACCAACAATCAAGGTAAAAGGGAAGAAGCCTGTGTATGTGAGGAAGAGGAGAGGGTTGCTTCATTTCCCCCCATGGTGCTCCTAAGTGACAATGGATAAATTATAAGATATTATAATTATCATAATTATGATTTTAAAAGCTTGATCAAGGGTCATTTCTGTCCTCTTCAAGAGACCACTGATCCACTTGGTGCCTATTAACATCTGGAAAGAAGGCTCACACATGCTGATCTGCATTGTTCCATGGGGATGGCCTTTCCAAGGCCATCTCAAGGATAAAATATGCTGGTGACTCACAGACTTAGGAAGAAGCTCATGCTGGTGATAATACTGCATCACAGTTACAGAGGAGATTCACAGTGGTAAAACTGTTGCCTCCCTACTTGTTACATGTGTCCTTATATTGCCAGGAAAATTGTACCTAAGACCTGTGGCTGCCCAAGTATTTCTACTGACAGTGAGTTCTGCTAGCCTTACTGTTCCAGTGGTGCCATGGAAAAATGAACCAAATGTTGTGCCTTTTCCTGTACCACTAGCAGAGCCATCTGCTCAACCCTTTTCTTTCATGGTTTTGCCCTCAGTCACATCTCAAGATTTCTGAACTCTTTATCACAGCCTATAACCAAGACCATTGGCTGGTAAATGCTCTACATTCAAACATAGATTTTTGTGTTATGTATCTTTTGTGTATGTGTTACAGCATTCTCTCAAGCCAGTGCTTGTTAAAACAACACAGAGCTAGAATAACTAATCTGAAATCAGTGGCAGTGGCCCATCTTAAATGAGAACAAATTATGTCTATAAAATAATGATTCAGCACAGTTCCGTTTGGGTACTGCTAATCAGGGCAACCTCTGCAACTGTGAAACACTTCATTTTCCAGAGAAGAATAAATGCCTTGCTGTAACTGTAACTTCTCCATGTCCAAAGAAAAGATGCAGAGCATTTAACAGACCAGTGGTTCTCAGTTCTTTCTTTTACTTCTCCCTAGTATGCTTTCTGTGTTGTCCCAGAGACATCCCTGCAGCTCTCTAGAGTGTCAGTGATGCTTGCTTGGCTGTTAGGGAATGCAGAGGATAGGGTGGGGTGGAATGGGATGAAGGCAGCAGCTGTCTATAGCAAGACTGGGAGCTGTGATGGAGATCCGAGGGGCATAGGCAGTACAGGGGCACACCATTGCTGGCAACAACAGAAGTGTCACCTCCTAGAGGAGATGCTGGCATGGGGAGTAGTCACGGGGCTGCATAGCTGAGAAGCTGAAGCAGGGTTCCCAGAAGCCATGTGCCTCGACTGTTTCATGGGTGTTCTTAGAACCTTCTCAGCACTGCTTTGTACTTCCCCCTGGCTCTCCCCCAGCCATGTCTTCCCACCTATGTTGTCAGCTGTGCCTCCAGTGCCTGGCAAGGCACCCTCTTCCCTGCATACATTTCTTTTCCCCCCTCCAGCTCTAGGACTATGTTACAGATCACTCCTCAGCACATATCCATATTGCCAGGTTAAGGAGACTCCTTTTTTCCCCTACTTTTTTTTTCCTGTATTTTCATTTTGAAATAAACTGTGTTGACATACAATTTAGTAGTATTTGTGTCATACAGGCTATATTGTCCAAGACAAAAGCAGTCTAACTGCTTTAGGACTGAGCTTCTCATGGATTAATGCAGTGTTCTGGGAAGCAGGGCAAAATAACCCACCCTGAGCTTTGTTTTCTTATTTCTCTACATTGCACATAAATGGGCCCTCAGCAATGTTGAGTCCTGTGCTCAGAAGTGATGTAAGAAATAGGAGCTTCTTCCAGAGCTGACAGCATTGTAGCACAGTGGTGTGTCATGTCCCAGTACTAACCAGGACTGTGGACCTGAGAGGCTAAGCTCACTTGGAGGGCCAGCAAGAGGCAAGATAGTCTGAGGCTTAGACTTGACCACATTACGCAAGTCAAAAGAGAAGTTTGTGATAAAGCTAGGACTTGAAGACAGGTTTGTTGTCTAATTCAGTGCTCTAACCACAGGTCCAACCTTCTTTTTGATGTAACTACGTTTAGTTTTCTTTATACAGCTGCTTTTGATCTAACAAAATAATACACAGTCACTATGTCTTGCACGTGGGTCCTGCATAACTCATGCAGTAACATGTACTGATCTTGATCTGCCAAGTTGGCATTGGGTTCAAATTCAGTTAGTTCTGTTGGGATTAAGTCATCACAGAAAACAAACAAACAAACAACACAGTAACCTATAGGAAACTTTCTCTTTCCTTCCTTCATTTAATTAAGCCTCCTATCCCAGACCCAAACAATATGAGAGATTTTGTCAGCTACCCAACAGCTGGTAATGAACGGCTTCACTGCACGATGAAGAGGACAGAAGATGACCCAGAGGTCGGTGGTCCATGTTATACTCTGTACCTGGAATACCTTGGAGGACTGGTGCCTATCTTGAAAGGACGTCGTATCAGCAAGTTGCGGCCAGAATTTGTTATCATGGATCCTAAAACAGATGGAAAAGCAGGTAGAATGGAATTGTTGCTCTGTATAAAAACTTATTTAGCATTACTTTAGATGTTAAATCCTCAGGAGTTAAAGAAAATCTATATATGCAGCATGGATTGTGGCATCTGATTTTTTTTTTCTGATGTGAAAAAAAAAACATACCATGCTGTCTTCTGTTTTACAAAGAGTACTTCTTGCATTTTGAACAGTGTGGAATAGATTTTTATTTAGCAGAAAATATTCTTTAGTCTCAATTTTGAAATTAATTGAATGCTGTTCAGCCCTCTGAATCATGTTCGCTTGAGTTTCAACCATTGAAAATTTGGAATTTATACCAGGGAGGATGAAGAATGGTTAATTTCCTCTGCATAGTTTTATCTCAACTGCTGGCTGTGGATCAGATTTATGCTTCTGATGACTGATAGTTGTAATTGATATCAGTTTTCTGAAGCAGCACTTACATTTCCTGGGGCCTGTCTTGATAGATGAAATCTATGGAAACAGCTTGATTTCCACTGTGATTGACAGCTGCAACTGCTCGGACTCCAGCGATATCGAACTGAGTGATGACTGGGCAGCAAAGAAATCACCAAAAATCAGTCGGGCTAGCAAGTCACCCAAACTCCCCAGGTAATAAGTTCTTAGATCTCTTTTTCTCCTCCTTGCCTTTGTTTCCTATGGTATATTTTCAAATTCCTAAGTCCACGCATAGGTGGCATAGGTCCTGGCATAAGTGTCACTGCTGCTGTGGTGACCTTGCAAGAGAGACTCAACAAATGGATCTTCCTAAACACAGGGTTGATAAGCTTCTGTAATGATATGCAAAATAAGCTTATTATTCATCTGTTTGCTTTCTTGCCAGCTCTTCATTATATTCATTATGTACATAGACAGAACCTTCTGGCTGCACAGAGCCTCACTGATGTCTGTGATGCTTCTCAAAGGCATTGACATCTGTCTGCCAGCTTCATGTTATGGGGGTGAGGCCCTGACGCCTTATAGCTGCGTCTGACTCTGGAAAAACTTAATATTGTGAGCTTCTCCTAGTAAAGCCTAGAAAATGCATCTCTTTATATGTGAACATGAAGTGTGAAATACCAAACCTTAGTTTAGTGATACTTGACAAAAGAATCACCAGTTTCTGAGCCTGAAACTGAAATGGAGCAGGAAAAACAACTATCCTTCGTCCTTGGTTTTCTAAAACCATACTTTTGAAATGTAACTTTCATTAGTTATTTTTTCTGCCAGTGAGCTTTTCCATGTGCTTGATCTCTTATGCATGGCCCTGTTTGTATAGTGGGAGGTAGGGATAACTTTAGGCTTAGAGTAAGAGCACTGATGAAGTTTGTGGAGCATTGGTTTGCTCTACGTGGTGATTTGCCAGCTGAGGTGTCATGTTTCCATTTCTTGAGACTTTGCTGAAAGCACATAGTTGAAATAGCTCAGCCTTACACCTTTTTATAGATTAGTGGAAATTATATTGCATCTGGTAGAACTGCTGTGAGCTTTGTTAAATGAATCAGAAGGCATCTGGGCAGAGTTACTGCAAGTGTGTCAGGCCTTATATATCTTTAAATATGACCCATAACTCTCCATCCTGTAGACTCTACAGTTTTCATTGGACATTTAGAGGACACCACACCCATTGTCTTCATTATGTTTTTACATTAAAAGACATGAATTTTGTGCATTTTTGTGTGCACATTGATGATTCTAATTATTGCTTTCTTTTCAGAATCAATATAGAAGCGCGCAAATCTCCAAAGATGTCACGAGCTGCACAGGAGATATCAAGATCACCAAGGTTACCAATAAGGAAACCTTCTATTGGTTCACCAAGCCTAACCCGAAGAGAGTTTCCTTTAGAAGATATTACTCAGGTATTGAGGACGTTGTTACCAGACTTGAGTCCAAATGTGTCTCTTTCCAGAGGCAGCAAGTTGTAATATAGATACAATGATGATTAATAAGAGTTTTCATTTAACTGTAGTAACAAGATGGAACAACCAGACAATTGCACCTTCCAGGTCAATGTTCATGCTTGAAAGTGTCAATGGAATAGGTGTTGTTTGATAAATCCTGGCATCACTGACTTCTGACAGTGTGAATCCATGTGAGACATTTTATTCTTGGTGATGGTGTTGGCTGCTTAAAAGCATATGTGAAAATGCTTCATCAGTTTCTCAGAGCAATCTTAATGCCACCATAGTTCTCTGATTTGCTAGGGACTGCAGAGATAAGGAAATGCTTGCTTCAGAGGGCTACATGTTCTCTGTTTCATAATTAGCATGGAACAGCCTTAATTGGTAGGAAGGGAAGGAATTGGCTTATGTGGTGTTCAAGGAATTAGCTTATGTGGTGTTCATGTCCTGTGGGTAAATTAAACTTAACAGGCTGGAGAACTGTCTGGGTTATGTGTTTTAGTAATACCAGTCTGTGTTCTTTTAATTTTGTTTTATTTCATTTCAGTTGGGTTTTTTTCTGCTCTGTCATTTCACTTTTTCCTTTATATTGAAACATTCTAAATCACGTAGCAGTGGTAGATAGGACCAAAAGTCCTTTGAATAGGGCAAGAGACCAGGCTTAGATCCTGCTTCTAGAGATGACAGCATAACTCTTGGCCTTTGACAAAATCTCTTGGTCTTTCAGGCCCATAATTTGATCACTGTGGAAGCAGTGGTTGGGGAAGCTGCTTTGGAAGCTCCAGGAAAAATATGTTTGTTGTTATGAGTAATTAATCTGTCTTATTTATTGTTCTATAAGGCAGTTGGTAAGCATAGAACCAAAGGGCAGGATGTATTACGTCCCAAAATACAGAATAGCCACACTCTTGTTGGGCAGGAGAAGCAAGCATCTAAAACCAGACCTGTTCTCACTGAGCAGCCATCATGATGTTCAGCTCTTCAGCAGGTTTAGTTAGCCTGTGTGGCTGTTGTGTGCATCGTTTCTGATGGGGTATCAAAATGAGACTTCTAATGTCTGGGTATAACAGGTGCTACATAGGCAAGAGAAGCTGAAATTGTGTTATCACAATATCTTGATTGTTCTGCAGTTTCTTTATTAGAGCTTGATACAGATTTTATTAGGTGAAAATGGTCTCGTTTTTGCTTTGCAGCACAACTACCTTGCTCAGGTCACATCTAATATCTGGGGAACCAAATTTAAAATTGTGGGTTTGGCTGCTTTCCTACCAACTAATCTTGGTGCAGGTAAAAGCAAATTCTATCTATTTTTTTGCATGTCAAACTGTTTCTCACTAACAACAAACTTACGCCACGTCATTCTTTTTAAGTGATTGAAAGGCTTCTTTAACAAAGCACTTATTTACTGTGGACAGTAGGAATTAGATTTTACAAAATTCACTGTAACTAAAAGAGATGAAAATCTATAAATGCAATAATGAGATGATCAATAAAATGTTAAAAGTCTCAGTTGTAATGAAAAAGAATAATTAACAGTCAAGCCCATACCTTTATTTTTACAGTCTATTTGAATAAAACTCAAACAAATAAAGAAAATTATTGCAAGAAGACTATAAAAATCATAGGGTTGAAATTACTGTGATAGAAATATTTTTAGAAGCCATATTGTTATAGTCATTTAGCTACTAATTATACCGAAATAATGTTAAAAAAGCTCTTACAGCAGCATGCTGAAGACCCTCGAAGTTAGTGCATAGGTTTTTCTTATGGTTCTCTTGCTGGAGCATCAGTAAATTGGTAGCTTTCATTAAAAGTAGCAGCTGTCTATTCTATTGACCTTTTTCTGGGTAGGTCAATTCTACCTAGGTAGTGCTGTAGAAAGGAAGAAGGCTAAGTAAAGAACAGGGTGCCACCACTGAGCTCTGAACTGAAATATTAATGGAAGTTTAGGAGTTCTACAAGCTCTTTGGAAAACTTATTTTGTCCTGTATTGCATTATACAGTTAGGTCAGGACATAGTGATGCCCTGGTTGCAGAATTAGCTATGTAGATAACTTTTGTGGCTATATTGACTACTACCAACAAGAGATGGAGTCTCAACTACTGGGGAGAGGACCTTCTCTGGCCCAGCCCCCAGGCAAAGGTTGTCCTCTCACAATGTTGTCACCCTGGGGACAACCAGTGCTACTGTAGGGCACTGGCACCTTTTACTTAGTCAGGCGTTATGGAAACCCTCAGGTTTGTTCCAGCCACCTTTTTTATTCCAAACTAATTTATAACTTTCTGACATCTGCATTTGCAGTTTTTGTCAAAAGATAGTTTAAGAGTGACCCTGCTGGGTCAGACCAGAGGTCATTCTAATTCTCCCATTGTCAGTGACAGATAGGTAGGGAAGGATGTAAGTGTAGAGGAAGTGTACAGTGATAATTTCTTCATATGTTCTCCCAATCTACAGTCATTTGGGTCCCAGGGACTTCCTGAGCCAGGAGGGGTTTCTTTGTTTGTAGTAATCCTCAACAGTTTTCCTTCCTGAGAGCTTTCCAGTTTTCCCCTAAACTCATGGAAGTCAGTAGCATCCTGTGGTGGAGAGTTCCAAACGCAGAATGGAAAAACTTATTTTCCTTCCCAAAAAATAGATTTGAATACAAAATGAAGTAATTCATTTAACTGCTGAGATGCTGCTTTTGTTTAAAGAGAAATAGCTGAAAGGACCAAGCTCCTTTATCCTGCTTGTGCAAAGTGTTACATGGTGGCTTGGCAGAGTGGCCCGTACACACATTTGTTTGTTAATGCATTAAATAGAGTCTTAGACTTTCTGACTGCTTTGAAGTGAGTCTTCTTAGTTCTAGATGCTCTTTGTGTAACATTTTCTTAATTCTTATTATATTTTTTCTCCAGTAATATATAAAACCAGTTTGCTGCATCTGCAGCCCAGGCAGATGACAATTTATCTCCCAGAAGTGCGGAAGATTTCAATGGACTACATTAACCTACCTGTCTTTAATCCAAATGTTTTCAGTGAAGACGAAGATGATTTACCAGGTAAGGATGAGCTTGAGGTCTGCCACGTTATGGGTTAAGCTAGATGCGGGACAGATCACTTGTGTCACTAGACCACTTTGGTAAACACACAAATAAAAATCCTTTAGTCCAATGGGGTCCTGTAGAACTCAATTAGAATAAGGCTAGTGTGTATTACAGACGTTGTTTTCTAAAGTATGTGGAAAATACAATTCCTTATAGAGCTTCTGAGTTTCAAATTCATTGGAACATTAATCAGCTTCTATTTAGTATGCTAAGAATTCTCTGTAGACTGAAGCCTTGTGTTCTACATCTTTGTAGGACAGAATTGTGATGTGTTGGAAGCCCAAAAGGATCGGTTTTGTGACCTAATGGCAGCAAAGCACAGCGTGCTGATAGGAGCTGGGGTTGGAGGGCAGGCTCCCATAAAACTCAGCACCATTGGAGAATTGATAAAAGCCCATTTGGAATTTCATCAGAGGGTCTAAAATAGTAAAGTAGTCTATAAACAAGCAGGATCAGGAAGAATTTCTCATTTCACTGAGATGTAAGGTAGCAGCAGATTCAAGCACTGCAGGGAAGGCTTGGGTGCAGGTGATGTGACTGTGGCAGGTGAAAAGGAGTGGAAGTACTCAGGACATCCTCCAAAAATGACAAAAAATCATCAACAAAATAATAACACATAAAAATAACAAATAATAGACAAGATAAAGTAATACATTTTCAGAATTTTCACATCAGTGAGAAATTCCTTTTGCCAGGTCACAGGTTTTTGTAAGTACAGGAGTTGCCAGCATGTCAGTACCCTTTGAGGAGGAAGGAGTGTGAGCACTGCAAAGCAATTAAAAGTGTCTCCTGAAATAAATGGAAGTACTCCCATTATTTCAGACCAAGGTTTTGACTGCTGAAATCACCACAGCTTTTATCTGACCAAGCATCTGAATAGTCCTCTGAACTTCTAAAGAAACACTCGTGTGCTTAAACTTAAGCCCATTCTTTCACAGTCTCGGGCTTGGTTTGCCTAATTTATGTCTATGTGATATTGACTTGTAGGATCTGAATTAAATAACAGAGATCGATATTTGTATATATATTATGCATAGGAAGCACTCAAGATACTGTTATGGAGCATGGTCCAAGCTGACAGAAAGTAAAATTAAATAGAAAGAAGAAGTTACTATAAAGTTTTTGCATCACTGCCTGAAAGTTGGATTAGATCTGCAATATCAATTTTTTTATATTATTCTAAAAGCTGAAATGGTACTCAGAATTGCAGGTTGGTGAACACCACATAAATACAGGCAAGACGGTTAGAGAGTTTTGTTACAGCTCTTTGAGAAGGCTAGTAAAAGAATCATACTACCCTGTCCTCCTTAACAGCCTTCCTCTTCTTGTCCACTTATTTCTTCCCAATTTCTTCTGAAAATTCATTTCTGACTTAGCAAATGGAGACGAGTCTTCAGAAACATTTTTGGTGATATCATTTCTTAAAGCCTGCATATAAAGGAAGAAAGTGCCATATACTAACAGGAAAAAAAAATATTGCAGTATAAATAATGATTATACAACAGATTTAAAAAAAAAAAAACACAGTAGAAAGCTGCTCTTGTATAGTGGAATATGCGTAGTGAGGTACTCTTAGGACAGGGGTTTTTTACATAGTAAAGATTTGGCAAGGCAAATGGACAAGGAATTGATTTAACTTGCAAATTATGCAAACAAAACAATTAAAAACCGTTGGAGAAATGAAAAAAAAATTGGATTAAAACACATTGGGTTATTAAGCAACACTGCAACAGAAGAGATTTTGTTTGATAAGGCACGTAATACACGACAGCAACATTATGGATTGCTCAAGGCAGGCTAACAATTACACCTCAAGCTCTGGCAGAGAAATTGCTAACCTGCAGGCATCAGGATGAGAGCATGACAACCAGGCACAGAACCGTGCTGCCTGAGGGTCAGTGAAGTTTAGCTGTCAGTCGTCTTCTAAAGGAATGAACAGAACTACTGTAAAAATTTGCCAGCATAGCCACAGACCCATCTGTACACGTACCACGTTCATGGCTGATGCTGATAAGAGCCTGATGCTATCAGAAATATAATTACAGGGCATAGGGAGGTGATTAGAATTTTAATTACAAATTAATTAGTAACTGGGCAGCAGCTGGAAGAGTCCTGACTAATGGATCTTTTGCCTGATCTGGTCTTGCAAGTCAGAGGTCTCCACAGAATTTGGCACACTTAAATGATCTTGGATATGACTCTAGGATCCTGGATATTAGTCTCTAGTCTCTTTTCCTCCCATAAACCTGCTGATGCAACTCACCATTTTCCATGTTTTTAATACAGGAAAATTAATAACTTATCTGCAGTATTCTGGGGATTTTAATATAGTATTCACTATTTCCACTCATTATTATATTTTGTTCCTTCTTGACTGCTGCAGCTGTACTTGATTCCACTGTCCTCATTTCACTGCTGTGCTCCAGCTTTTCAGTGGTAGTTTCTGTTGGAATCAGTCTCGCCACTTTTTGCAAAAGGAATTGCAAGCAATTCAACAAGCTTAAGATCATCAGAATTGCTTCTTACCTTGCTCTCCGTTGTTCACCACCACCGCATGTGGGAATTTTTTCCTATATACATTTGCTTCTTTTCAGGTTTCTGATTGCAGTCTGTCCAAACACTGATGCTGAAGTTGCCCTGACTACAGTGCCCATTTCTTGAATCTTTTTGGCTTCCCCTCTATTTCCACACATCTTTTCCTTACAAAACTTCTTTCGAGAACTTCTGTAAGTTATGTCTGTATTCCATCCTACTCCTCTCTCTCTCTTTTATTCATCTTCCTACTTTTTGCATTATTGATTGCTTTGTCACCCACTATACATAAGACATAATAATACTTCCCTTTTCCCGGCTGTTGCCTGTATTCTCCAGTTTTCCTAAGCTCATGGAGTCTGAGAACATCATACCAGATACTATACAGTGCAAGTCTTTGACTTTTCTTTTTTGTTTCCTCCACTTTTTTTTTCTTTTCTCTTTCCTTGATGACAACAAATGTCCAAGTCAAAACTCCTAGCTGCTGTCAGATCAAGGGCAGGCTCGACGAGCATCATTTAGTCTTGCTGCTGAAGCTCAGTTCAGCATGGCACTGTGCCACCTGACTGGCTATACAGGGAGTCAGCATGGGCCAGTGGGGACTTTTTTGTGCCTTCACCATCAGGTAGCAGCAGTGCTAGAGAAAGCTAGGAGGCCACATTAGTGGCCTTAGGACTAGGGGAAAAGAAGAGATGACAGCAATGACAGGTCTGTGAGTGTATTTTCATTTCTATTGCTTGTTGGTGTATTTAGTATCAAAAAACTTACCTAAAAACTGGAGAGTCCTAATTCAGCAAAACCTTCATTGATTTGAGTAGGAGTAGTTAAAATTGGCTGATAAGGGAATTGTAATTCAGACTCATTAGGTAAATTCCTTGCTCTGTGAAAGTCGGTGGCAATCAGCGTAGACTGAAAGTCAGATCTGAACTTACCTCTAAGCAGCAGTCCCAAGAATTTACTTTAAAGTTGACTGCCAGCTGTTACAGTTGGAATCAGAGAAGACAGGGTGGCTTAAGGGCTGATCCATTGGTTTTCAGAGCTGATAGTGCTCCATCCAGATGCAGCGGAGTAATTAAGCAAGTACATAAAAATTGCAGGTAATTTAAAAAGTCAAAGGTAAAGTGGAATGACAAAGCACGGAGGACACACGGTGCTTTTTCTCCTTACTAGCTTTAAAACACAATTTATTCCCACTTCCTGCATTTTATGTCAACGCCACCATGAAATTTGGAGCCAGGGTGGCCCCACAGCAGTGGCCTCACCCCTGCCCGCGAGGGGACCAAGATGGAGGAGTCGGGGGTGGCGGGTGATGTGCTGTGTTGTGGTTCATTGCAGTGCCCGGCGTACCCGGAGCCCCCACCAGCAGCCCGCCCTGCACCGTCAACATCCCCATCGCGCCCATCCACAGCTCGGCCCAGGCCATGTCGCCCACGCAGAGCATCGGCCTGGTCCAGTCGCTGCTGGCCAACCAGAACGTGCAGCTGGACGTGCTGGCCAACCCGCCGGCC